GCTACAGTCAGGGCTTCTCTGATTTCTCATGGCTTACCTCCTGGCTACCAAACTTTGTCTGGCTGAAGACAACGTTCCTGGGAATTATGGGCTTGGGGGTAATAGGAATATTTGTTTGCTGTTTTGCTCAGGGTTTACCCTCCTGCTTGGGGTGTTGTAGGGGATGCTCTTCTGTTCTCAAAGCAAGATCAGCACCTTTCCCCAAGGCAGGGATCCCTAATCTTCATGCAGAATGACCAACAATATGAATTTGAGTCACAGGATGATGTATAGCTACAAGATTCCTTAACTGATTGTGCATAACATATTCTGTTTTTGCACAAAAAGAAAAAGGAGGGATTGTGAGAAGGAAATCCAATTCTTCACAACCCCCCCAGGTCAGCTGGAAGTCAAAGCTTCCAATTTTTCTCACCTTACTATCGTTTATCTGAACAGCAATCAAGGCATATGATCAAATTATAGTAAGAACGGGCTCACCTAAAAAGATTGAAAAGATAGGAGGAAGAATTGGGAGTCCTCCACCCAAGCCCAAAATTAAATAACAAAGACCTGGCAGGAAGGCCCAACATTCCTTGAAGCCTTAATCAAATTGTAAGAAGATTTCTTCTCTGAAGGGATCTAGGTGCCAATTAGACCATGTCAGGTAAAGGAACCACAGGAAACCCCTACTCAGTAGGGCACCTGACCTCAAAATGCTCCCTTCCAAAGACCCAACCAATTTCACCTCTCTTGGAATCCGGGAATCACCCTTTCCAAGAATTCCTCGAGGGCTGGCATTCCTTCACACCTTTCCAGGAACAAGAGGATCTGTCCTATAAAGGAACTCCTGGGGAAATCCGAGCAAGGCTGCCCCACAGATGATTCCCTTCTGTATCTGACTCTCAGAAAATATGACTCTCATCGTATGTCGGCCGTGAAAGCCTTCGACAATACACGATCCTCTTCTGTATCTGACTCTCAGAAAATCAACTCTTCTCTCTCCTTCAAGGAACCGCCTGCGTGTTTATTACTAGCTGGGAGATGAACCTTGTAAGCTTTCATTGTAACCTTGTAAGCCTCAGACTGCTCCCTTCTAAAGATCCACCCAGTTTCACTGGAGAGCCTCTCTCTTGGAATCCGGGCTAATAACCTTTTCCAAAAATTCTTAGAAGGCTGGCGCTCCTTCACACCTTTCCAAGAACAATAGGATCTTGTGATGGAATGGTTTCATGAAAGCAGGGCTCAGGGAGATAAGCATTTCCTTAGCCCCCAGCAGGAGCGTGGGAAGGTTAAGAAGATGAGACTGGCACCACCCTAAGGAATTCACGGTGTTTTGGCTTGCTGGGTGGGACTCTGCTGCTAGCAGCTGGTTCATCTGTGCTGCTGGGGGTTTATGCACTGCAGTTAATTTC